GCTCCTCCGGTGACAACTGCAGTTCTAAATGAGGAGGGAGGCACAGAGTATGACATAGTACATGAGACCACGGTCGTAGTGAGCAGCACCTTGGCATCGCACCCAATAAGATGCCGGAAACGTGGAGATGTTTTGCATCAGATTTATTTTCACCTTGACTTTCTGTTGTGTCGTTTTAAGGGTGGAACTTAACCATGAGGGTTTGGCCAGGAGGTTTTTCCATGTTTAAATGTTTTGGCCCATTTTATGTTACATGCTTTGACCACAGAATCCAACTGTATGCTTCTCCCTGGGTAGTCGGTTGCTCAGGTGACAGACTGTTGCCCTATTCTTTGTCGGGTTTGAGTGCAGCTTCCATTGATAAAAAATATTGCGTCAGGTGGCAAGGTCAACCGTGGGTATGTAGCTTAGCTTTTGCTGATCGGTATGTAGCTGTCGCAAATGAACCTCCGAAAGGCTCTGACTACAGAAAGATAACAAATTAAGGAATTTCCTATCCTACACCAGATTAATGATCTTTGTATCAATCTAGATGCAGGTAGGTAATATCATTTTCTTGGAATAAGAAAGGCTATTTTGCCCTGGTTGGTATCGCTCCATAGCGGTATATGGCGACTACATGGGGCAGTCTATGACAGATGATTCTGAGAAACATAATGAAAATTGAGAACCCAAGACTGTCAATAAAATATTTGGCCTGCACGAGCCAAACGTAGAACTGATGCATGCAGAAGTGTAATTCTGAAACTCTTGGTCACTGGATATTATCCCATAATTTTCCATAAGTTTAAAAGGCTAGGAAAATAAGATGATGTTCATTTAAGAGCAGAGACTTGAAAGATACGTTAATCACCGTTGTATGCTAATTGATTTAGTTTTAGACTGTTCTCTGGCTTGCTTGGAATCGCGTTCGTCGTGATGCATCGCTTTATTGCGAACCTTCTTAGCGACCGGCCTCTTCTGAAAAATTTCGTGAAACAGCAGTACATTTTTCCCTCACGAATGACTCTAAGAATTTAGTGTTTTTTAGCCCGATTTGTTATGCTGTGACCTGTGCGGTTTTTGTAACGGTGCTTTTGCATCTCAGCTGTGTTCAAGTTTTCTCGAACGCTGTACGTTGAAATCTCATGCGTTCATTTGTATGAGCGACGTCGTCTCTCATCTTCTATTTCAGACCTTCCCTGACGAAAGTCTCAGTCTCCTCTTTGATGCAGGATCACTTTTGAAGAACAACACCGATCGAGTGAATCTACCTGATTATCGTTCTTTACAAATCAGCCATGTACCGTGGAAGCTTCTGCTCTTTTTCGCAGCTATGGTAAAAAAAATTCGTAGTAGAAAAAAACATTTTTCAGATTTATGTTTCACGATTCAGTTATTAGTGGCAGAAATATGAAATGGTCAGCAATACGAAACTGAACATGAGCATTTTTTTTAGTTGGAAAGATTAATTGTGAAACTCTAACTTGGAGCATGTGTAAGGCCTTAAATTTTGAATCTTCAAACTTTATTTCAAAAGCACCATTGAATCGATGCTGGCTTTACAGCTTGTTTTAGAACATTTTACTCCGCTCCCTACTTCAAATCTTATCGACAAAAAATTTTCGAATATTTTTTCCCAGTATTGTTAAAAGGGAAAATAATGGGGTACATGATAATAACCACTATTACTTACATGCAGATCTTTATTACAGACAATGTTTCTCATAAACCTTGGTCCCTGGTTAGACTTACACAGTGCTAAGCACGGAGTGATATTCAAGAGTATGCAGTTGACTCATTTGACTGACGATTCCGTGCGTGACTTACTGTAACTTGGAAGACAGATCAAAGTTTGTCCTAAATATTAGTATACGATAAAGATGTATTCGAAGGTAAAACACGAATGCGTTGTCCTCGCGCTCGTAACATTTTAAAATATATTAGCATCTCCAGGTCAAAAGATCGTATAGACTGCAATCAAGGAACTTTGTAGCATCTAATTTGCATATTACAAACATTTTTCCTAATCACCTCATTTTCATGTTTTGTCTTTTCTTTCTTCCTTATATTCTCCCCTTCTTGATTACCACTGTCATTGTCAGAATCATCATTTTGACATTTAACCATAGCCTGTTGCACTGCGGCTTTTGATTTCTACTCGGTCGTTGATTATCTCACGCAGCTTATGCTCTATTGTTGTTTGTTTATGGCTATGCAACATCATGCCACTTTTCAAGTCTCTTGCTTCTTCTGTTCGATTGCATTATATGTTTTTGGTCACACTGGTAGCGTATACGGTAAGTGTTCTTTTCGCATCACCGAATCATTGGAAGCTGTTTTTCGTCCACTGTTGTGAGAGCTGAAGAACTGCATGTTTATGAGCGCATTATGCAATTTCAACTTCAGCAAATATTGTGATCTGAGAATTTTGGACCTATGGGTTTTAGGATATTCTTCTCTGGTATGTACTTACACCAGAACACCCTATACTTACACCTAGATTCGTGGAAACACTTAATTTGTTATCTTTTCCCTCCTTCCCACGTTAATAACAACATCAAAGTTGCTCTGCCTAAGCATTATTATCATATTTTGAACAGTTTTTAGGGACGGTCACGTGCTTCACGATGCCAATTCCGGTGGGAATCATGACTCCCATTTTTCTGACAGGTCGGTTGATCTAACAATGTTTTGTCACTTTCTTCATAACGAGCTAGTAAGAATATTCGAACAATTTTAGGAGCTGCCTTTGGCAGAATGTTCGGCGAAATCGTCCGAAAGATATTCCCTCATGGAATCCGGAGAAATCAGCAAATGGACTTATATTTACCTGCTTCGTACGCTATTATCGGTATCCGGTTTCCACTACTCACGGCTTTGCTATTGAAATATGTCTCAACGTTCAGGTGCTGGAGCCTTTTCTGGAGCAGTGACGCACGCCGTATCCGTTTCAGTGGTTGTCATCGAAATGACGGGTCAAATTACGTACATCTTACCAATGATGGTAACGGGTTAATTAGATACATGCCTAATGCTTAAGAGCTGAAGAAGAAGGCAGAAGACTAAGAAATCAATTGAAGAAAGAAAAGTAGGTAGAAAACGAGAAGAAGAAAGAAAATAGATATAGAAGAATAAAAATAAGAATGAATAAGAGATGGAAGGGAGCTGCAATTACAGCAGAGGACAAACTTTCATCCGGTCAAATTTCATCCTGGGCCAGTGTAATGGAGCGTAACATAAAATATTTTATTCTCTGTCTCATATTTATTAATTTATTAAAGTGTTTGTCCAACTTCACGTCGTGTCTACTTTTCCTAGCTTTCCGTAATTATTGCTGTAGCCGTTTGTGAGGGTGCTCAGCCTTCGCTGTATAGCAGCATAATCGACCTGTGTGGTTTACCCCGTCTGAAGACGAAGGAACGCTCGGCGCACAAGTAAGTATACGCACAGTTAATCTGATAACTAAGCGGCACTTTCGCATGCCTTGCTTGCCTACTCGACGGCCTGAGGATGTCTTTCGGAGGGAAGCTAGGAACCAGCTAACATTGCAAAGGGAAATCGAACTTTATCCGCCCAGTGCTGCGCCGTTAACATGAAAGTTTGCATGACATTTATTCATGTCATTTTCAGATTTCATGACATTCACGTGAGTGATATCATGATGAAGGATTGTCATTGCATCTGTCAGGATTCGACTTACCGAGAAATGCAGGATCTGGTAATTTCCGAAGCTAAGATACGTTCATTTCCCCTGGTGTTGGACAAAGGTACAAAATTACTTGCTTTGCTATATATTCACGATTGCGAATATAGTTTAATGTTGATGTTGCTCTTAACTGCTTCTGAAATTTCTGCTTTGACGATGCATAACTGAGACCGAAGGCCTTTACTGGTTCAGCCTTGCTTGAGAAATATATTCGACCACGTCTAAGGAGCTAGCGTATTGAAATATGGCCAAATCTTCTAAGATGGAATCACAACTCAAACCACGGACCTTATTCAAACCAGGAGATGAATTGCTTTGATTGAAGGCGAGATAAACTGTATAAATTTCTGATTTTGTCTCGTCTTATCTATGTAACATAAACCGGCTGAAGATGATGCATTCGGCGTCAAAATCACATAATCCTTTTCAAATCATTTCTGTGGGCAATGAATAAAGAAACAACGATCATTAATTGTAATTTAAGTAGGTAACGAATCGATACCTCCTTTAACAGCTACTAAATAACCGATCCGACACCTGTTTGAAACGCAAAAACAGAAACACTTGATGTTAGCGTAATGCATCGAAATATAACGACTGCAGTTACAGAAACGGCACAAGGCACTTCTGGAACAAGGACAGTGAAGGACGGCACAAAAGTCACTAAACAAGCTGAGTAACTCTTGAAGAAACGAAAAAATGAAAACATAGGTCGATTATTGCGAAGTAATAATGAAACGGACTAAGAAAAACATCAGGGCGTTCAACTGCAGATTGGTGGAGGAAACTAATGAAGAAAACGGAGGTATAAAAAAATTAATTTAAAGTCGAAAAAGTACAAGTTTCAGCTGTCATGATGGAGCTGTTCATCAAGGACAGGACAAGAAACCTGAATAGAGTAAAAGGTCCAAAAGATTTGTACATAAAACCATACAAAATTGGAAATCATCAGACCCAAGGGACGAAATGGACCCCGAAGAAACAAGTAAAGCGAAAGAAGTTTCAGACATCTTGCCAGAAAA